CGCATACCGTTAAAATACCCGACGATGGTGAAAAGGGCATACAGATTACAGGTTTACATTACAAGTGTATGTGATTTCTCTATGGGATAAACAATAATAATATTGCTACAATTAAAGTACTATGTGAAGTCAAGTATTATAATACTCTCACAGGCTTATCAATTATTTCTATATCGTTCCGGTCTTAATAAATACTTAACGTTTAATGAAGTCAATTTTATTAAAACACAAAAATTAAAATGTGCAAGTCCCATTAAGGACCCATGGAGATTTTGCATGGAAAGCTCACGTTATTGCATACGGGACAGACTCACAATGTCACATTATTAACTTCCACGCATTAAAACGTTATTATATAGCGCACGCTATAACAAAACCAACACATTTTTTCCATCATTCCATTATAAGAAAATGTGTATATGTGTAATGCGAGGTTCAATAATAAACCTTAAAAAGATATCTGTATGGGAGGTTCATGTCACTCGTTTATACGACGGGTAGGTATAAAAAAAAAAAAAAAAAATGTAATAAAAAAGTAGTTTATTTTGTTGTTAAGTGTCTCGTCGCCCTAGTTTTTCCAGAAATAAAGATTTTAAATTCATATTTAGTTACCTAATTTGTTTTTTTCTAAGTGTATACAAAACAATAATAATAATAATAATAATTTTCAATTATAAATAATACTAATAATAGTAAGTTTGTGTTGTGGAAAAAAAATATTTGTTCGCTATTAAATATTCATAAAACAACCGATATGTACCTATATATATATATATAATATAATAATAAAGATAATCACAAAATTAATATTATTTTTAACAAGTTTGTAGCAGTAGAAAGTACAAAAATATATTACGTATAATATAATACGCTTAGTAAAATATTTAATTTTATATCGCGAGTAAAATAATTATTGTTCGAAAACTCAAGTTAGTCTGAAAAAAAAAACAAACAAGTATACGTTTTTTTTAAATTAAAAAATATAATAAATGAATAACCACCGTATGATAAATTAATAATAGCACACGATGTTCGTTTAAAATAATTGAATACCGATGTCTACCTTTGTCTAACGTATAAGGTGCGCATCAATTTAAACCGACTATCTGAAAATCAGTCGGATCAATGTGGGGATTCTTAAGGAATTATTCTTAAAGCACATTCGAATTCAGCGGAAAACACACAAGAGATCTATCAGATCAGTTTTTCAACTTTTAATTCTAAATTTACAAAAAAAAAAAAAAATATGATTTCAAGATTTTAAAAGTGTAAAAGTGAAAAAAAAACCCGAACATCAAATTTAAAAGAATGGTCCGATAACGAAAGAAAGAAAATATCGGTACCTAATCAATCCTCTAAAATTCTTTTAATTCGCCAAATTAATGCGGATTATATACACTACTATTTTCAAACGAAGACTGCGGTGGTCTGTGGGTTTGAAATTCGAAAACGTTTTGATTCTATTTAGAGAATAAAATGATAAAACGAGGCGATGATAATAATATTACGACCCGGTAGATTATGGTGAGACTTATGGAGTGTTAATAGTACGCCCGGATGGGTGTGACCTCCGGTTTATTATTATAGCAAATTGTTCGTCCCTGAGTCGGTAGGTCACCCGTGTAATAAATCTTGCAAAATAAATGCGGACCTATATTTTTTTTAATATTTCTATAATGTGACCGCTGAAAAAAGTATAAAAAAGAAGTAATCTATTAAAAAAAAAAAAAAAAAACTGATATTATAAATAATAATCAAAATTTTTTCAACAAAAGATATAATAATATGCGATAGATAGGTTTTCATACTTCAGTGATGCTAAATCTCCGAATAATCAGGTGGTAGCTCTAAAATACGTTGTGCGCTGCTGTTTTTTTTTTGTGTTTGTTGACAACATTTGTATAATATCAAAAATAATGCTTAGACTTTCAAGCGAAGCATCTTTCGTGAAAACAAATTGTGTTTAGTTGGTGAATCGAGGCGGCCATGTATTCAGTTATCTTGTGGTGTTCCGAATAACTAAAAAATAAAAATACACGTAATAACACGTAGTAAAGACGGGAATGTTTACGGAAATAACGGTTTCATTATTTTCGATTCAGTTTCGTTGTTGTCAATTAAAAATACTCATTACCAAGAGAACAGCAAATTTTACAGAATATAAAAAATGATCTTATGTAGAAGCCGTACAATTTTCAAGATATTCTGAAGATTTTTGAACTATTTTATTGAGTTATCTTAAATTTTTAATTTGGTTTTATGTGGATAAAATATCTTGGGTCGAGTGAAAATGTTTAAAAATATTACACAAGATTCATCGTATTAGATTGTAATTCATCGTAACAAATAAAATAACGGGAAGTTGGAAAGGTAAGATACATAAAAGCTGTTTTATTTATATCTGTACGGTACAATAAACCATTGCTAATGAAAAATGTTTCAAAAGTAAAATTCAGTTAATCACGTTTTAAAATGTCGTAACGTTTACGATTTTTTTTTTAAACTTTTAGGTAAGATAATATGTTATGTGAAAAACCGCAATTTAAATAATCATCTATATTTTATCTCGTTAATTATAATTAAATTTACAATATTGAAAAAGTCCGACGTATGTGTACTGAGAATGTAACAATATAACTTTCTACATAATAATACATTTGTCCCTGCTGAATGAAAATCCCTTATGTTGCTTGTTCATATGGGGTATTATATTCGTATACATTAGTTGAAATATTAGCTTAATGGAAGTTTTTTTTTTTTATAGTTTTATGATATCAAATAACAGCGGCATATATAAGATTTTCTTGAAAAGAAGAATATGAAATAATTTGTTGGGTGTTAAATTTTTTCCTAAACCATGATAGTTTTCAAAGTCTTTAGGGGATAACGAATTCACCGAAAATAATAATAGTCCCACAAAAATGTTTAATGATCACTGAACGATCAACACCCAGCCATAAATAGTTTTTTCATCACGAACAAAAATTGGGTTTAGTTTTTACAAAAGGCGTTTGATAACAATGCACATATTAATAATGATATTCAATTTCACTGTAATTTATAAAATAAATTTAATTTCATGTTTTTATACACAAATCACTGATAACTTCATCTGTAGTTTTATCGATTTCTTTGCTGTAAGAGAGCAAAGCCAGTCCATTTAGTCTTCTCTTCGATCGCAAAACACACGACGAAATTCCTTATCGTTTTTTGTCGGAAATAGTTCATTACTCAGCGTATTTCGTATACCCGTGAACTTTCTACATTATTCTACAGTACTAGCGCGTATTTTACCCGGCTTCGACGGAATGGTCCTTTTTTTTTTTTGTTGTTGTTATTACTGTATAATCCAGACACACAGAATAACAGTTTAAAACAAATTTCGGTCAATATTCAATTATTATTATAGACGTATTAATATCGATATGTCACTACCTTACAGATTACAGATTTAGGGATGTTCCGTTAGTTATAATAAAAAGAATAATAATACGATTAAAGGATTTAATTAATTAAATTAACTTAATTAAAGGATCTATTTATACGTCACTGTTACATAGATTAATCGAAAGACAGGATCTCGATAGGAGAAAATGAAAAATATTTAAAAAGGAAAAATCTAACTCATAATAGACGTTTTCTAAAATTGTGTTTATTTTTTTATACACAATAACGATAAATCAATAATTAAACTAGTCTTAAACACTTTAATAAAAAGCATTATACTATTGTCATTTCGCTTTCACATTTACTTTTATACTCGGTAGAAAATCATTCCGCTTGACATTTTGTTACTTTACGACCTCAATCGTTTTGCAAATTATTATAACTGTTCCGTGATTTTACGCCAACATATATTTTTATGTCATAATGTTTTATCGACGATTTGATTTTTTTATGACGAACCGGCGATTATTCACTTATATTTTGAGTGAATTGGATTTTGATTTTATTATTTATTCAATATGGATAGTCGTTACGACGATCAATTTTGCAATATTTCGAACACTTTACTCTTATTCTGTCAACTTTTGATTTTAAAGTATCAACCCGCATGCTTAAACTCACATTCGAAAAAAAAATAATATTTCGGATTATGAGTTAGAACCTTTAAAAATTTAAACCGAGAACGACGATGTTTATTTAGCTGGTATAAATCGATCGAAACTTGTAGAAAGTATTCGGAGTTTTTTAAAACATGGACTGCCATACTTTCGAAAATCAATACCTAGTGATAGTATACGTTCTAACGGATTAAGGTTAGATATACGAAAACACAGTCTAAACAAGTCACTTCGTTTACCGGTCTACGGAAGAAAATGCGAAAATATATAAAATTTACACTAAACGTGTTCGTAGATCGGTTTGTGTGTCGTGTATTATGTTTTATCTGGAGAGTTATACCGGTATCTTATCTAGATACACGATAAATAATTTGCCTGATCCATTATTTCAGATAAATCTTTTTTAGATATCGATTTCGTATTATAACAGTGATAATATTATTCCGTCGGTTATCTCTTGTCGTGTATACGTAATATACGTAAGTACGTAGGTATTTCGAAACGCATGCCGTCTCCGTACACGACCGTGTCACACCGAAACAATTAACGCGCGAGAATGCCTTATATATTACACTGGTATATACAGGATAATCAATCGATCGTAAGAACCTCATTATCTCGGAAAGTATTTACTTTTTTTCAGAATTTGTTTTATGCGACACTTAAGAAGCACGCGGCTCTACAATTATACATTTACATTTGCATTATTTTCGAACGTAAAACCACTAGGCTGCCATTTGAAAATCGAAATTACCGTCCGAAAATACGGGCGACGAAAAAATGTAAAACCGCAGAGCCGCTCGTCTCTTAAGCGTTCTACGATACAGATTCCGAAAAAACTGAACGCTTTCGAGATGACGAGTGTCTTGCCGATCGAACTGATCATCCCGTATTGTATTATTGATATAACACCGGGCTGTTTTTAATCCGTCGTCGTCCACGATAAACTGATTATACGATACGCATTATTTATAATAATGATGATAATACCGTACGCGCGACGACGACGGTCCCCTTTTGGCGGGTCTTCCGACTCGAGTGTACAGTCACCCGGGTATTAAACCGCTATAAACCTCTGTATAATACGGCGCGTAAAGCGTTTGAAGTTCGCACCGTCGTCGCCGCCGTCCTAGTCGTCACAACAGTCTCGTATACAGGCTATCCCACGGAGATAAACCTTTTGAATATTTACGGAGATGATAAAGATAATCAAATGTCGATTTTGTTACGGTACTCGCAGAGACGAGAATTACAAATAATTATTATTGGATTGATTTTTTTTTATTTTATTATTTTCGGAAAATCTTAAAACGGCTATTATGCAGAGTTTATTTTACTAAAGACCGGAATGTACCACGCATTTATCGATGAACAGTCTCTATGTAACAGCCGTTTTAAATTCTGTTACACCGCGCGAAAACCGATTTTATCTAGAGAATAACATAACCTATAAATATATTTTGTAGTTCTCGTCCCGGCGAGTGAAATAAGAAAAAAAAAAAAAAATCCAAAATTCGCCTATCTCTATTATCTCCGGAGATATTCGAGGGGTGTATCTTCGCGGAACATCCTGTACATACGTTCTTAATGGGTATTGTAACATTTTGCCGGACGGCGCACCGCGCGCGAGCACACACACACACACATTAATAATATCACGGGATAGGATCGTATAACACGCGAATAATATATTATTTAGATACGGTGGTGCGGTTGACGTTTTAATACCGACGGTATCGTTGTATCGTCATAAGCCCGGTGCGCGCGTACTATTACAGGGGAGCGCGGACGTCGGAGCTCTGATTTCGACGACGCGAATTCGCATTATTTTTTTATTTTTTTTTTTTTTGCCCGACGCTTTTTGTGACGAACGATACTCGGTTTTTTTTTCTTTTCGTTAATTTCTTGGCGCTTATTTTATGGAAAAAAAAAAAAAAATAATAATATTAATAAGCTGTTCTAGGATAATGGGGACGGGTGGTGCAGCCACTGTTATAGTTAATTTAACGTATAATAATAATAATAATAATCTTTATTATAACGGAAAAAAATTTTCAATTACATTTTCCGTACATATTTTATACAACGAAATATCCATGGTTATAACTTATGTTTAACGAATTACAGCAAAGGAAATTTGTTCTAAAATAGTATCAGTTCATAATTATACGAAAGAACGGCAGATAACAAACGACCATTGACCATAAGAAAATTACGTGTTTGGGTTATTGACCAATAATATTGTATTAAACAACTAAATGTTAGAAACGACAATTTGTACACATTATCAACTATTATCATCAATGTTTGTACGAAAAAACATGCATTATCAAAATAACCTCGCAGTATCAAAGCAACCCCTTTTAGATTCTGAGTGGAGTGAGGGATATACTGGTATAACAAAGATATTTATTTATTTTTTTTTATTATGTTAACACTATTTTCACCAAGAAATTACGCTTCATATATCGAGCATAGCACCTTTTATGAAAGCAAATGTTCTCTGGGTGATACTTTAGAGAGGTAATTTTTTGAAATTTTCATTAATATTCGAGATAGTGAAGAAAACCTGGTTCTTTAGTTTAAGAAAGATTAAAATATTAAAAATGAGTTTGCTAATAATCGTTTTTATTTTTGTTATTATTAAGTTTTTATTATGCTAATCATTTTCAATCAATCATTTTTATCAAGTAAACCTACATTGTTGTAATCATTTTACCATAATATAACATAATATCCGTTGTTGATAAAGCAACACTATCAACTGAGCTCGGTTCAGAATCGTTTTTTCGTTAGCAACGGTTTATCGTTGCTTACAGGTATGCATTGAATTTCTGTCTGTATCCTATCTTACCAACTTCCCACCTACAACAGTGGCTTACACTCACGTGCAAAGTATGTCCGTCTTTTTTGATATTATGCCGCAAATCAAAAAAAATCGACCATCGACGTCGTTCACTGCAGTATCAATTATTATTACGGCCGTTTACGGGGCAGTATCGTCAATAATCCGCCACCTGGTGGCGGCCAGTACTATAATAACATAACAATAACAACAAAAGTGTTCTATTGGCTTTTATATGTTAATTCGCACACCTATTATTACAATATTCGTACGTATTGCTACTATTCTAGTCGATAACCATCGATAAAACATTACTAAACCGTATGTTACGCGATGCTTATCGAAGAGGCGTATCGTTGATTTTGCCGCTCGTTTGACGGGTAGAATACGGGCAATAACGTATAATTTGTACGTACGCCCGCGCAGACATGTTTTTTTTTTTTTTTTATTATTATTATTATTATTAAATTTTATAGCGTATTGCGGTGGCGGTTATTTACAGTTTCGGACCGCAATTTTTTTTCATTCGCGATTAGTGAGTTCTATAACGGACGTGCCGCGGTGCATAGTATAGTATATAAACAACTGTAATTTTGCACGCGAGTTAATTTCGGTTAGGTTAGGTTTAATTTCGGTATAATAATATTCGGGATACGAGTTTTTTTTCCCTGCATGTGACCGGTTTACCGGGCAGTTTTACACAATATCACGGGCACCGTAAATGTCGTCACGACACTATACATACGGTATACATTATTTTTAAACTCGTTTTTAACATTTTTATTTATAAAAAAGTATTGAAGCAATTGACTCGTCGCCGTATAGTAGTCGTGGGCGTATGCCGTTGCACCGGTATGTGGACCGAAAATTCGCCGTAACGTCCCACGGTTTGTAATAACGGAATCAAATCGTCAAACGATATATTCAAAAAAATTACTCGCGCGCGTTATTCTCCGCCGTGTTCGAACCATTTATTTCAACGGTATTAGACTGCCGGGGTGATGTCGTGTCACGACAAAAAAATATATACTCGTCATTCGGTTACCCCGGAGAAGAAGTGGCAACCGACTAAACGACGACTCCGGGTTACCGTCCCACTCTTGAGTCGCCTCTTTCTGATCATCTTCTTCGGTATACCGCGTTCCCTTTGACCAATTATTTAAACGAGCCTTTTTTCTAAAAAAAAAAAAAAAAAAAAACACCAAAGCGACACACGCGTACGAGTCTCGCGATCGATAGCGTTTTCTTAAACGGCGGCGACGTGCAACGTACTAATATAAACACGGTACTCAACGTGCCCGTTTTAAATAATATAGGCACCTGCTAATAATATGTGCGGGCCGCGCTTGGGGGACGTACTCACGGTAATGACCTGGTTTTGTGACGATTTCGAGGCGACACTAACCTGACCCAACCCGGAGGAGCCCGTGCTCTTTTTTCCCTTGTCGTAACCACACTCGGGTGCCTCCATATCCGAGCTCCTCTTCCCCGTTCGCCTCTCGATTTCAGCTCGGCGCTAAAACCACCCGTAATTTCAACCACTTCGCTGACCGCCGTCACATAACCTCTCAGATTTTCTCGTTTGTTCCACCATTTCAGTTAGTATCGCATTGGTAGCAACAGATATGTTCTTAATTTGTATTTTTTTTTCTCTTAAAAATGTACATACCACTTCTTCTTCTTCTGGTCCATCGGTACCGTATATCATAATATCCGACTTTTGAAAAAGTTCTCATATCGTTCTGTCTTTTCTTCCGTTTTCCTGAGTAGGTGTTAACGCAAGAGACACGCTCGTATATTCTTCTGAGTATATTTTTCCTTTCAAAAATATCAGCTGTATTCCATTTGCGATATTTCAATCTAACCGACAATACCGTTGACGCTTTAAATTTGCAGCTTTATCTGATTTTTCGATAATAGCTCAACAATTTTTCCCTTTTCTCTCGCATCCGTTTTCAGAAATTTCGAAAATATTGTACCCTGAGTTGGTTTATTGTCGTTTTGGCCAACACTAATTCCCGAGTTTGATATTATTATAAAACAATACTATGGTATATGGTTTAGGACCCCGCCGTTGCCGTTGGCCACAGCCACGTTGCAATGTATCGCAATGTACAATCTGTTGTCACGTACTTTGAGACAATAATAGATGGGGTGAAACGAATTTACAAACTATCTTGTATAGGTTTGAGTAGATACTCGAATATATTTGCTAGATTACCATCATGCATGATACGGGATCGGATTAACAAATAGTAGGGTTTATTTTGATTTTAATATTGAAATTCCGATATCGCTTTCAATATACGAATTCGCCCTCCATTACTTATCGTGAGAACTGGAGAACTGTTTAAACTTGTTTACATTAAGAAAAATAAATATGTTTTCATATTTAGAAACCGGAATATTCTGTTCTATACAGCGATAAAAATTATAATTCGAGCAGGTTTTCATATATATTTGTATAATGTGTTTTGTGTGTCGTTTATTTATTTAATTCGTATAATGCACGGTATTTCAGTTATTATTTTTTTTTTGTGTCTCGCAAAGTATTTGAATAGTTCTGCAATTATACGATTTTCAAATAATATATTATAATTCTCCTACGAAAAAAGAAAGTGTACGGACAACGGTAACCGGGGCAAGCGCATTTTCCCAGCATGAAATAAACGGATCGATAATTTGCATAAGCCGACCGAATGTTTCGTCGCGTGTGTAAATATTGTGTTTTTTTAAGCCGTTAGAACTCCAATTCGGTTAAAATGAATCGTCCTTGAAAATTAATAAAAACAACAAAAAAGAACAAGAATTTCGGTTCTACAGTGTTTGCCTATAGATCTTATAAACTGTATAAATCTTATAAAAATCGAACGGTTCTTTAAAATGGAAAGAAGAAAACAACTAACGTTGCACGTCAGTATTTTAGTGTTTAATATATCAAAGTAAATGCTTTAAAATTCCGAGCGTAGAGAGGAATGATTTGTTTACTATAATTTGTTTTTTTTTTTCGTGACTGTAAACAACTTATCTACAAGAAATCTTGTTCCGTTCATCAAGTGTAGCGTGTTTTCTAAAAAGGAATTTTGTCAACGTGGTATGTTAGGTGAGACATAGGTTTTTTTTAATAATTGAGAAAACCTAAGGAAAAACAAAACAAATTACGCAATAATGGCAGCGATATACGCTCACCAGTTGAACACTTGGTTTTTTATACGTTGTACTGTGTGGTATAGTGGTTAAAAAACAAAAGTTGGGCATGAAATCATAATTTATTTTATAATAACCTCTTTAATTTTAAAATTCGACATAAATCGTATAAGTCAAAGCGTTTTAAACGTTTTTGAACCGAATCGCGCTCAGAATCGTCTTTTGAAAGCAATGATTTATTATTGTGTACAGATATAAATTAAAATAAATCCTATATTATAGCTGACCTTTCCAAATTTTCACTTACAGCTGCGAAAAACCCGTCAGCAATAACGGATATTTTTATTTTCTAACACTTACCGTTCGTTTATTTTGAAAGATTTTTCTCGCGTCTAATGGGCGTGGGGCCGTTACAAGATTATATATCAGTGATGAGCGACATGACGTCACATACATATCGTTATAAATATACGATTCTTAAACAAAATGCGTTTTTTTCTTAGATTTGTTATTCGTTAATAACGTATTGAATGTAAAACAAGCCATTACACGACTGTTAGACAGCATTTAGTCTTCTTTAAATCGAAAATAGTCTAATGCTCGTTTTAACATTAACATGCAATATATTTTTACTTTTTTTTCGACCACCTTTTAAATTAAATTAAATTATTCCATCCACGTATTATTTTTTTTTTTGTAAAAAAGAACTTGCCAAAATTTCAAATCCAAAAGAAGACATATAACGATTTTAATAATTAGCGGTGAAAAGCGGAAAAAAAGCACTTGATGTGAAAACTGCACAGTTAAGGCCGATGGATGGTGACAAAATGTGTCGGCTTCCTCTAGAAAACGATATCAGAGCGCTGAATCCTTCACCCTCCCTCCCTTCCTTAGTGATCGTTTTTATCGTGCGAATTTTCATTGTGTTGGCTTAGCTATACCACGCTCCGCCATTCATTTCCATTACCGGACGACCGCGGATAAACGAGATACTCATTGTTTGTCCTGAAACTTTTTTTTTTATCTTTATTTTTATGCTCATTTTTAATTTTTTCAATAGTAATACATAACACATGGCGAACCGAAAAATCGGTTAAGTCCGCAGCGATCTAATCGTAAATATTCTGGTTTTATATGATCGTCACGTCGCGTCTTAGTTTTATTCCGAACAAATCTATGTAACATAAAATGTGATGGTTTTCTGGGGAAAACTGATTGAAAATAAAAGTAAGAGCTACTATTTCTTGTTGGTTTACTAACATGGAAACTTATTCCGAATGCGGTCGTTAGCTTTATTTCCTTAGTCAATAATCTAAAACTCTTTTATAATATTTCTATACAAATCAACGCTACAAAAACTGTAAATTTCATTAATTTTAAAACTCTAAAATTATCTTAATAATAATATTATGAAAGAATACAGAGTGACTTTAAATACTGTGACATGAGCTAAAAGCCTATATTGCTTTTTTACAAATTAATGACCGCAATGTGCGCATAATAATAATAACCACACGAAATATAATCGAAAAAGAGAACGCCGTGATTTTTAAAATCTATTACAACGTAAAATCTCCCATAAAGTGCATCTCCTAAAGCCGACGTTTTTTTTTCTTTGGAACTGGGACGTTTTCACAGCTTTTCAACGCAAAATTTTCCGAATTGCGAACACCTGTATTAATATTAATTGGAAAACAATGACCAAACGGTGACAGCAAAATGCGCTCACACTAGATATAACGATAACGAATTCGTTTAAAAAACTCGTTATCGAATTAAAACGATCAAATTACGAAGAATTGCGAAGATTATGACGGAAATATCGATATCTTGACAGCAAAAGCTTCGTCTGCTTTTTTAGATAGTGACTGGTTTTTGACAAGATGGGTTTAAAAAAATGTAAATTCTTGATTTTCGCCAAAACAACGGAAACATAGTTGTCTTGTACAAACGTTCGCAGAAAAGTTTCAAAATAGAAAAATTCCAATCGTGAATATTATGTCAGATAAAAATGAAATTGACAAACCAGAGTAACAATTTTTTCTCGCCAATCAGAATATTTATGCATCTTATAAATGCATTATTGTTTTTTATGTAACAATAATTTATTGAATTCAACTATATTGATGATTGATACCCTTAAAAACCGTTCAATCTTCACAATTAGTATTAAATAATTTCAAAACTAATATGATAATTTAACCTAGCGAAATTTTTCTCATTTTATACAATAATTTGTATATATGTTAACAATTTACTTCCTTTGTATAGCGAACGGAATTTCGTTGACCCGAATTATCTACTATTCGGAGGATTCAATGCACTAAAAATAAATTATTATCATTTTTCTTTATATCAAATTATTAACTTGCTTAAAGTTTATTTTATTACTTAAAGGATACAGAAATTCTCATTCTTTTAATGCTAAAAACGTATAGAAATAATTTATTTTTTCTTACCGGTATACTTTGCATTTTCCTTAAAGCGATTTTTTTCTCTCTCTTATAAATTTATTACACCTAACCTTTCTCTATTTTTTATTTTACCTTTTTCATTTATGACTCAACGCTATTTTGGTTGTTTTCTAGATCTCTTCTTGGTCGGTCTCCTTTTAATGGCCGTTTTTATGTTCGCTGTTTTTTTGGTATGTAAAATTTCTTTTCGAGAATAATTTTTCGTAAATGTACCTTCTTAATAAGAACAGAATAAGCTTTTCACGTTATCAACTTTAACTAATCCAGTGGATAATTCGATATATTTATCACACACAGAAGAGCCAAATTGTTGAATTTTTAGATTTTGTGCGGAACGATGAAAAATCGGAGGAAACGCTGGAAAATGTACGATATGTAGGTATAAGTAAAAAAATATTACGGCATTTTTTTCTTGCAAACAACTTTTCCACCAGCAATTTCGCTCCGATTTTTAATTATTGCACATTTATAATAGGAAATCTGACTTGGGTAATACTTAAGGGAGGTCATTTTTTGATATTTCCAGCCTTTTTCATTGTAAATGGAAAAAAAAATGGAAAAATAGTTACAATATTTAACAAATGTTGTTTAAAAAAATGTATAATGCATTTAATATGTAACTATTTTACCATATTATACCATATATATTGTTGAAAAAGCAACACTATTAACTGAATTCTACTCAGAATCGTTTTTCGTTAGCATTGATTAATCGTTGCATACAGATATACAATACATTTCTTCTATAGCTTCCCGTTTTCTCACCTACAAGAGTTGTCCACCCCCATGCGAATTATGTCCGTCTTTTATAAACGCATCACTTCGAATACACTGCAGAATATCTTCATAGTCATACTATTATTATTGGATAATATCCTACCTTTGAATTGTCGCTATTCACAGATGTATCTCTTTTTTTTGCTATATGAATAATTGTATCGCAACTGCGAAATTAATCGACAATTACATTTTTTTTTTTTTTTCTTTGCGAATAAATTGAAACCAAACACTTATATATTATTAGCATATGGCTCCGGTATAAATAGTAAAGACACAATTTAACAATAAGTAATAAGGACTAATAAAACTAATAAACTAAAGCTGAGGCTACGAACATGTGATTTTGTTAATAAAATTAATTTAATTTTAATCGAAAATATATGGTATATGAAATATTATTTCGACAATTATAATTGTTATAAGTATATTTTTCCCCGATATTTTTCGGCTTGGTTGGAAATTTTAATACAATATATTATTTCGTATTCACTTTTGACCCTTTTTCAATCCTGTAATCCGATCGATTGTTTGTTTTTTTTTTCGGCCTTCACAAATTCAAACGGCACGATTGTTATTTTGCATATATTATAATACTGTCGGGCGAAAAAAAAAACATCAGTAATAGTAGGCATAATTGAATGTTAATAAAAAAGCAAAATATATACCAGGTGATACATTTAAGTAGTTACATTCGACATTTTAAAAAGCATTCACTTTTTTCGCAAACGTTTTTATTTTGTACAATTATTCAAAGAACAAAGATTTAACATTAATATTTGTTTTATCACTTTTTTGGGCATTACCTAATTTTGATTTTCAAAAGATAACCCATACTAAAAATTCCATAAACCGATTGAGTATTATACTATATTGATGTAAACAATTTAAATGGAATATCTCGTCTAGGCGTTGATATCGAGTGTAGCCTTAAAACACACGCTTCACTGTTTAAAAGGCCGGGCTTTTAGAATTTTGTTCATTGTTTCAAAAATACGAAATATTAATTCAGCTAGGTATCTTGAAACTAGGTGATAAAATTGAATTACACAAAACTCCCGCTGTATGCGATCCGTTATCTGTACTATAGAAAAGTTCAAAGTTCATTATCTATTAAATTACGATATTTAAAATCGTGTGCGTGCTATACTGTAGCATTTATAAATTATTTTATTTTATGAAACCACAATTCTGGCTTATTTTTTAAAGTGTGTTTCCTAATAATTTTTGGCCATAAATGTTTATTAATCGCTATTTTATTTTCATTATGACTGGCGAGATTGTTGTTGGTTGCCACTGGTTTGCCATACTGTGTGTAACTATATTACACGTACAGATAAATCATTGAGCATAGAGTACATTATTGCATAATATTATAATTAATAAAACCTAATATGTAATTAAATTTATATTAAAATTGTATTTGTTTACATTATCATTAAAAATAATTGAACATTTGTATTTTTTTAAGAGCAATAAAATAGTGATTCTTTCTTTTTATCGAGTTTTAATTGAAATATTTCAATGTACGGCCAAAAACACCACGTGCGCGGATTCTCGTGAGAATATTTTTTTAATGCATGTAATGTACATTATAGATAAAATAATACAGGTCGTAGGTTTTATTTGCATCCGTGTAGTGAAATCGCCTACATAGAGCGCCGCGTCATTTTGTCATAACCTTTTTTGTACATCGCCCGAACATGCCGTCACCATATACTCAGTGGCGTAATTGAGAAAATTTTATTCGGAGAGGTATACCAAAATAAACCATCATATCAATCTCAGGGTGGATGGCTTTGGCTCCCATACCTGGGGGGAGGGTTAAGGATGCCCTTACCTACATTTAATTAATCGACACAAATCAATTCAATACTTCCGTGTTACAAATTACATTTAACTAAACTGATTTTTGTACATACTACAATTTCATAGTGATATGTCTAGATTCCTAGGTTACATGAAAATATCATCCGAGACTTTTATGTGTGATAATATTATCACAATGTATAGTTAACACTGCCGGGCCATTAATCGTTTCTACGAACAAATTCAAGACAATTTTACGTATTAGGTATTATGAAAGTTAATTTCGTCTAGAATAACTATTGTAGTTACCTTTGGACATAATGTTTAAGAGATAAGTTTTAATATTTTTTTTTAATGCTAGAAAACATTCTTTCTGGTTTACTTGTATAAAATGAGATAAAATTTCACAATTCGGATTCGGCAATTGAATTATTCAGATGAAAAGTGTTTAGTAGAATAAAAATAAATTTAAAGTAGATAAATGGGGAAAGGTGGAAAAAAAGAAAGGAGAGGAAGGAAAGGAGTATATGTATATTAAAACTCGTACGTATGACGTATAACGCGAGCGGGCGGCGATTTATCTGTCGATATGATGATCGACAGCAGACCACCACGCGCAATCGGTCAGATGTAATCTTGAATAGACTCGCAGCGTAATACGTTGACGAAATCGGTATAGTGTTCTAGTAAATGGTTCTATGTACGTGTGTGTGTTGCGGTCGTACGGATTGCATTATAATATATGTAAGTATACTTAAATTGTGTAGATAGAAACACGTACCAATAATATTTATTGACTTTTAGGCTATTGCCCGTCGTAGGAAGTTATTACTTCTCTTCTACCTATTTTATTCCTATTAATATTCTACTACGTAAATACGACATGTATAACTTACCTTGAGTTATCTGCTTGAAGTTCGCAGGAAGTTCGTTGCTCAAAATATTAAGAGTAGGATTTAATGGC